CTTTGGGACATGGTTTAGTCTAGTCTACCCTTGATTGGTTTAGTGTGGACGTGGTAGTGTAGGTTAATGACTGGAGTGGATGATCTTAAAGGTCTTTTCCAACCTAAACAATTTCTATGATTCTATGATTCTGTGATTCAGATTTCAGCACTGCTGCCACAGAAAAAATAACAAACTGGAAAAAAAAGCACAGACAGAGCACTCCAAATATGTAACCTCAGTATCACCACACTTACCATTTTCTGCAAATCAACCATACTTATTCTGCCAGCTTCCTTTTTCATCTGATCCACACTTTTCTGGGCTAAATTCAGATAGGCCTGTAAATGATGACGCATCATAGCCAACCGCAAAGCACACAACAGGATTACAATCCACAACCTCATGGTGTCAAATGTATCTTCTGACATTCTGTGGATAAAAAAAAAAAAAAAAAAGAGTAATGCTGTTTTCCAAAAGGTCACCTACTGCTAGAGTTATTTGTTTCTATCATCTGTAAAGAAATCTTAAAGCATAGTCAAAAATACTTAATGCACAATCTACAGTTACGAAGTTCACAGGTAAGTAATATTCACCTTTGCCCTTCGCTTCTCTCTCTACTGCTACTTCTTAGTAGCCCTACTACCGCATTAGATCCAATTTAGTATCCATTCGTCTGTAAACAAGAACAGCTCTTAAATGCTTAAATTCTGAGTAATGAGTACAAGACACTAAAAAACAAGCTCGCTCAGATAATTACAGGTTTTGAGACACACAGTTCTACATAGCAAATGTGTACTTCAGTTGCCTTAGATACCCTGTGATAGCACAATCCTCATTTTAAGATAAACTGAGGAACAAAATGAAAGCACAAAATATGTATATTTGCAATGTTTTATGTAACAGTTCAGTGGTCACAGAATCACCTTAGATGCTTATCTTAGACCTAGAAAGCAATAAAAGTGTCAGCCAATCATATCTGTTTCAAGTCTATTTGAGTACTACTATTTTTAATTATCTAGACTAAAAGGGACAATGACAATCACCTATGCTACTTATACAGTATTGTTTTCAGATACTACTCTTCCTGAAAATTCTTTCCCTTTTTACATTTTAAATATTTTAGCTATCAATTCCATATGCACTTCACCTACACACAGATCTTAAGACAAATTGCTTAGGTCAGTTCTCATGCCAACGTACCTTGACTGTCTTCAGTGAAACCACTCCTCTCCTACACCAATATCTAAGATACAAGGTTCCAGAAGGTAGCAGTGAAGTGGTATTGTCCCCCAAGAAGAACAACCCATCACTGCCAAGGAGATGCCAGAAGACAGCAACTTTTTGGGAACCACCACCTTAACATTCAATGCTCTGCGACTAATTTGCATTCCTCCGAAATAACAGAAGCTTGAAGAGCTCAGCTGCAACTTCGACAATACCTTTGACAGCAGATGCTATTAAATTTTAAGTCTTTCACATTTCTATTACTTTCACAGGGCAGAACTTAAGCTTATGGTTTTGTTCTCAATACCCCAGGAAGAATTTTTAAAGGGAATCTTACAAAGGGACGCTCTCTTTGCCCAAAGGTGGGTTCATAATGTAGTCCTTAGTGATTGGTTTTACCCACAGTAGAACCATAAATAAAGGTGCCAAGAAGTTTATATGTAGCAATGTTCTGAAAGAAGAAAAAAAAGGGGGAAGTTATTAAATATAATTACCATACTGTTGAAACTGGAGGTACAGATTCAAACGGAGAAATCCAAATTTTAAAATAGTTGGGAGAAAGGTAAATAAGAAAATTGCTTCCTATTTTATAAGTATGACTTACGTTTGAACAAAACAGTAATATTACATACTGTGAAATCACACTGGTTGTTGCTTAAAAAAGTGTTCTTAGAATATCTGAAAACTTGATTTATTTCAAACAATCTAACCAAAGGAGCTACCTGCATTATGCCACACTATAGTAAAAGAGAGTTGTTGAAAATTTCCATACAATGGCATAACACCAAACTGTATTAGCTATTACAGTTTTAATCTAGAGTCAGCATCTCAGATGGATAATTATGGGAAATATACTGCTATATTACCATTCTTTTTCTTTATTAAAAATGTACTCAGATTAATTCCCATTATCTATACAGACCAGGGGAAACAGTTCTCAGAGATCAGATTTCCCCATTTAATGAAGTTTTTTACTTAGGAACCTTGACTAAATGAAACTTGATACTTACATTCAATCAAAGATACTTGGACAAAAAAAGCCAGCACAGCTATTCCATTTTAAAAGCATTGTATGAAACTGCACAGTTAACATAAAAGTAGTAGTCCTTTGTAATCTTTGAGTACAAAACAGCAGAATTTAAAAGGAGGAGATAGTTTTCTGGAGTTTTTCCTGAAATTAATATCCTTCTTCATTTCTAAACCCCATATCCCAAATATTTTTCATTGCTAAAATGAAACAAAACCAGTGAAGACTTCACTGCTGTCAGTCTGGTGGTTTTGCTAGTGCAGTGCTTCCTCACTACCAGAATCAGCTTGTCTACACTTCTAACTCCAACCAGAGTGCTCCTACACTACAGAAAACATGAGGTAATCAAAAGTTATTCTAAAGTACACAAGACCTTATTGATTTCAAACTATTAAGCTTCCTAAAACCATTAAAACGTTTCAGAAGATGTCATCACACACACATTTAAATCATTGGTTTCAGATGAAGAAATAAGCACTGCTAGTTATTCAGTGTTGCTAGGGAACACGACAGCATCAAAGAACAGTCCAAAGCACTTCAGTAACTTGTGAAAGCATTTTACCTGAGCTTCTACTTATTTAAGACATCCTACTGAGTTAATGGACTGGAACGTGCCAAAGGGTGGCAAGAATCTCTTTCTGTTTATTTGAGTACAGGGAGAAAGGCTGAAAGACTCTTGAAGCAGGCTCTGGAAAATGAGGGAACGTGTACGAAAATGGTACAAATTTATTAAGACGACTCCAAAACACATGCAGGGAAGGATATTGCTGCTAAAGAAAAACAATCAAACCAGCTGTCAAAACCAAAAGGGACAGTAGATTATTTTTATTCTGTTTACCCCCAAAAAAACCCTTACTCCCTATATACATAAAAGAACCACATTAATAATTTTCAATATGTTAGTGAAGTGGTAGCTAATCATTAACCTGTACCTCTTTTTTTCTTTTTTTTTTTTTCTTTTTTTTTTTCTTTTTTTTTTTCTTTTTTTTTGTCAGTGTTCCCTGGAACTTAAGTCTCCCATTCTGTAATGGCATGGGAAAGGGAGCTTGTCCCCTCCGTTTTATTTCTTCCATGGGTTTTTATTTGCTTGTTTGTTTGGGGGTTTTTTGATGTTTTTTGGGGGAGCTTGGGAGCTGGTGGTTGTTTTGGGCAGCCCTAGGGATTTGGGGGGGTTTTGTTTGGGTTTGTTTTTTTTTTTCCCCCCTCAAAAGTAGACCATTTATTTGAATGCAGAGAAATGCATTGTCTTCCTATTAGAGAGCTTTGTATCAGTGACATGTCATCTTCATTTACTACTCCCCTTTAGTCACTGTCAAACAACTGCAAACAGTCAATAATGATATTGATAAAGAACACATCATTAAGGGCAAATACTGATCTCTTCAGGCCAATTAGAACCTACCACTTGACAATGATTCTCTGTTTGTAACTGCATTACCTGCTTACATTGATAGCTGACCAAGTTTTAATCCACTTAACATAATTTTTATATTGTTCCAGTTGAATAGTCAAAGTATTGGTAGACTTTTGAAAATAATTTGCTTGGTGTTGCACAAAGTTGTCTTCGACAACCAGTTCCAATATCCTCTAAACATTAAGTTAGAGAAGATTTATTTTTCATAACCCCATTCTAGTGGATACTAATTAATTACCCTTTTAGTTCTTGATTAATTAACTTCTGTTTCAGAGATTTTGTATTTCTGTCTAGGATCTTATGTCCACAGATCAAGGAAGATGCTGGAAAATTAGAGGATACTTACAGAAAGGCACAAGAAATTTTAAAATACTGAGAACCATAAAAATGAAAAACTAAGCAGTTTATTTGGCTGAAAAGAACAGATTAGGAAGTGACTCAGTCACAGTCTACACATAGACAGAAACTTAACAGCAGATACAACAAGCCAACAGCTTGCAGCTGTACCAGAATGCATTCACCTACAATGACTGCAAGTATAACAGAGATTACTTGGTTATAAATTTACCAAGAGTGAAGGACCCACTTTAAACACAGATTAATTTTTATGCTGGGCATTTTTTGGGGAAAAGAAAACACAAATGCAGTTTGAACATAAATAATTTTCATATCAGAAAATATAATGGTTCTCTTAGGAAAGTGACCACACTAAATGATCACAATGGCCTATGCTGCAGAATCTGTCATGAACATGGTTTAAACAAAGGTCAAGATCTATGAAAGACATTTGGAGTTTCTCCCTCAACCAGAGAATGCTGAAGAGGAACAGTTAAATCAGAGAAAACATTTTACTACTAAACTCAGGGATGGCTGAAAATGAAAATATCCCTTTAAACTGGTATAACATCTGACTCTTATTAAATATTCTGGGTCATCGTTTCTTTGTATCTTACCCTAAATTTGTTAAAGGCATGATGCCCACCTTGAGGTGGGGGTAGAAGAAAAAAGTCTGTGGTTGCACCTCTACTTCCTGAAAGTTACCTTAACTTCCAAAAAGATATGATGGGGGAAAGGAAGCAGTAAGCAGAAACATTCATGGTGGAGCTCTTGCAGAAGGAAAGGAAAGCTCCTTTAATTGGGACTCTAATTACACAGCAAAGAATGTAACAGACTGGCAGAGCACAGGTTGAGCAGAAAGAGGCAGGTGGCAAGTCTGCTCAAGATATGAAAAGCAGGCAGCAACAGAAGTCTTAGTCACTACCTTCTTGTTGGAATAGTTGCTTTGTTTAATTTCAGACATTAAAGATTCAAGACTGAGTACCATATACCTATGTGCATATATTTTCTCTTACTGTGTTATTTTTTCTGTTGCTAAATTCAGAGCATCCAGATGCATTTGAGCCAGTCGCAAGCCAGGGAATGTCAAAAAAGCACCAATAAGTGAACACAGAACAGCCAGGAACAATTTGAAGGTTAGTTTAGACACAGGACCCCTAAAAGAAAAGAAAGGAAATAAGCATTTTCTTGGGGGGGTGGGGGTGGGGATGGTATCAGAGACTACTTTCAACTCAACAGTAGCTAACACGTAATAAAAAAAGCAAACAGTATTCTATAGTTTTACTCTGGAATACCAGTATTAATAGAAACCAGTCAGGAGTTACAAAAAAAAAAAAAAACCCCCAAAAAAAAACCAACCAAAAAAACCCACAACAAAAAAACACCAATTCACTTATTCATTTCCTAGAAAAACAGAAAACCTAAGCTACTGCCCATAAGACGTTAAGTTTGTTAGAAGAACAAAAAAAATAACAACTTCATACTGTAATTAACAACAAATTATATAATAGAAATAGCTAATAGAATGCATTTAATGAATATGTTTTCAAGAGAGGAACAGATGCATCGTAAGTTTAACTGGTCAAAGACAAAATGGATATTTAAGTTATACTACTTACACTCTACCTTTATCCATTAAAAAGCTCTATCAAAATTACTAATGCAGTTTTTCACAGATTTATCTAAAACGTACATGTGGCCAATTAACATGTCTCTACCAAGTAATTAATATAGTTTGTTTTAATGAACTATGGATTATATAAAAAAATTACACAAAAAATATCCGGGATCAACTGAATTATGGAATTAACAAGCACTGGATTACACAAAAAAACAAGTGGCATGTAACTAACACAGACTGAAGAGAAACAAAAACAAATCTAGCAAGCCACATGAGTTTCAGATTCTTTCTTAATCTACATCACATAAACTACCAAGAGACACCACCATCAAATCAACTGCTGCTGTAAACAGCCGAAGTACCACAAAATTTCAAAAATAAACAAATACTTAACAGGAAAATTAATACAGCAGTTAGTAAACTTGCAACAGCTTAGGAAAAGCAGAGTGAAGAAAGGTTAATAAACTCATGGGATTCAGTTAAAGGTTTCCCATGAGTTTATTAATAAATGACATACTAATCCAGTTTGAGGAAACTTCTGTTCCTCAAAAATAGAGATATTCCATAGCTTCTGCATGATACTTGAGAACATCCAAGCAAGAAATTCAAAGTTGCACTCCCACAGTGATGACACACCCCATAAACGCATTTTAGAGCATGTGTATAAGGAAAGAATTGTAACAGAAATCCATTTTACAATGTACAAAGGCAGTTTACGACAGCAATTGTATATTTATGTAACATCACAAGCTATGGCATGTTCCTTTGACAGTCTATACAAAACTTGGATGTCCTGTAGCAAGCAGATGTTTTTGCATAATAGGAAAACACTATTACAACCTGAAAACAAGACCGAACACCAGAATTTACTCGTAATGCCAAGTTTATCACAAGCTCCATCTGTAGGCTTTTGCACACTCATCCTCTAGCATACCACAGGAATGGCAAAAAACATCTATCACCTGTTTTAAGCAATCCTTGCAAAGCTGAAGGGAATTACTATGAAAAAAATGTTTATAATTTTGAACTGTATTTTATGAACTACAACCAAAATGTCAGGGTAGAAACCATCTCCAAATTAAAAAGAGAAAACACAAATGCAACGTAAGTTACTTGTGAGTATTGATGAACTATTTTCATTAACCCACTTCTTTGCATTCTTATAGAGATTGTAAGCATGTACAAGAGCAAAACATGCAAGACAAATGCTTGCTAAGAAAATCCAAGTGGTTCAGTTATAAATGCACACATAAAACAGACAAATGTATTTCCAGAAACTTACTGGGATTCCAAACCCTGCTTTTCAAGAAACTGCATAGCACTTTCTGAGAAATTTGAGAATCCTGCAGAGACACATATATTATATGTATTTTATTATAGTACAAATACAGAATCCCTTTTTGAAATAAAATGCTAGGTAACAGGACATCTTTTAAACAAATTTTCCTAAATCTAATCATGTGCTAATTAGTATGTCATAAGGCAATACAACTTGATTATTAACATCTCTGATATCTGTACGCTTCAGGAACACGAATAAAATTAACATTATTTTTTACAAACGTTAAGTATTTCTCCACCCCCCACCCCCCACCCCCCC